AGGTGGGGAGGACACAGATCAATATCTGTGGTATGGATTGTGCACCTCGCTGTGTGTGGTGGATGCATGTAGCAGTTTGTCTGGGCATGCCCTTAAGACAGATGCTTTGACATGTACTTGCTTGAACGCGAGATACTGAACTCTTGAGTCCAGCGCCCCAACTCCATGCATATTCCGTGTGAAAAAATGGAATGCATACTGATTTAGTGCCTCCGTGCCCAGATGCTTCCATGCCCGCAGTGTGCAGTACACACCATGCACACAAGTGCACACCTACCTCTCTCCCCTATGTGCTAATCTGCCCTAACTAAACCAGCAAAGCCCTCCTTCAGGGCTGCTACACCAGAGCAGTGTGGATTGACTCTTAGCAACAGCATCCTATTGCTGATTCCTATTTAGAATGAGAGTCATTATCGTTCCCATATCCTTCCCAGTGGTACTTGAACCAGTGTAGTTTCAGCCTCGTTTCTGCAAGGCTTGTTGCTTACGGCAAGCTATTTTCCCGCTCTTGAGTTTTAATGATCAGCAACTAAAAAAAAACAAAACACATTTGTTTGGCACCAATGTTCTTTTCAAAAACACGCACATGTACGGTATATCCCCCCCCCAAAAAAACTTTGTTTCATGCAACTGCATGAGCCGCAGCTTGACAATAGCTCCTGGTTTTCCCCCTTTCCCTTTTCTTTTCCACTTTGTTCCCTGTTCCTTCTCTCTGCCAATAGGAGCCTGCTGCTCTAATGGCACAAAATGCCTTTCAGGTTATAGAAACATCCCACGTCTTTGTCCATTTTGAGCTGTGTGCTTCTGTTTGAATGTTGCTGGCCCAGCTGTGCTCCACATTCCCCTCGCCCTGTGGCATCTCCCCAGCTGAGAGGCCTTTAATGGCTTCATGGCTGGGCATTTCAGCCCAATCGCATCCTGGGAAGCTCTCTCTGTAGCCCACAGTGACGTGAAAGGCACCATTTAAAAAATCGGTTCTGGTATCCCTTGCTGCGATGTGGTGTTGGTGGCGGCAGCTGGCATGCAGGTTTGCCTTGGCATGGCCCCGTGCATAAAACATTTCTGATCTTGTGCAAAGTAAGAATGAAGCCTTCCATTCTCCCCTTGAGCATTAAGACGAAACAAAGCCTCTCCTTTGTTTCCCCCACCTACCCCCTAAGCAAAATGACTTTGAAACTGTGCTCTGGAGAAGTGTTGGGGTTCCTTAGAAGCTTGGCAGGGATTTACTGGTGATCTCAATAAAGAAAGTGTAGCTCCCCTGCGAAATGACATCTCCACTTATGACCGAACTTCCTCCTCAGTGCCCAAGCACAAGGGGATGTTGGCTGCATCCTAAGGAAGGGGCGGGCAGATGTCAAGAGCTACCTTTTATTTTATTTTTTTGCGCTGGAAGCTCTGAAGTCTTCGCTTCATAACAGAAGAAAAAATTATTCAGCGTAGTCTGCCTTGTTCTGGACTGAGCTTGCAGGACTTTACAAGAACCCAAGAACACACAAAGCATGCACACACACACAGAGAGAGAGAGAGAGAGAGAGAGAGAGAGAGAGAGAGAGAGACGCACTGTCTTTTGCTCTAATGGAGCACTGCTTTTTGAGGGGAGGGCTTTTTGGAGTTGCTATTATTAAACGGGAGTCTGGCAGTCTTGCTGGTGTGCCTCAAGACACCTACAGATTGACCTGTAGATTCCGATTTGCGTTATTTTCACTCCTTTTATAAGGTTCCTAATTTATGTGGGGGGTAGTTATGAGTCTCAGCCAATGCTCCATGTAAACTGAGTTTGTGTCCCAGCAAAACATGTCCCCTAAATCTTTCACAGCTCACGTAGTTCCACTGCCAGTGAGTTGGGGTTTCTTGTTTTTTAGGTAGAAATCATTCCTTGGAGCTTGCAAACGTCAGCCAGTGAACGTTGAACCAGGATTATAGACTGAGGATATGGCAGCCTTACCAACTGCACCCCCCCCAAATACTTAGTGACCTGGCCATTTCTTGCCTCTGTTCGGACGTAGGCCCCCATAACCCTTCTCCTGTACTTGACTTTTAACCAATTCAGCTTGCCCCAAGCTGCTTGCATAAAGGTCACAAATGCTTGGGAAATGTGGTTAGTGGGTGGCAAGGCCATGAGAAGCGTATCAAGATAGAACTGTGGTCGTGGTAGCAACGAAAGGTCATCTGTTCTCCCATAGCTGGGAGGCAAAAAATTCCGCCCATCTAACACCACAGATGCAATTCTGACAAGGCTGGGCTTCAAACAGAGCCGAGTGGAGTTAACTTATGAAGCAAATAGTTTGAAACAAGCAATGCTGATTTTATCTACATTGGGGGAAAGCTCATAATATCACAAGGTCACTGGCCAGAATGACCAGGCCCACCCCACCCCAGTTCCACACTCAGAACATGTCTGCCGGACAGTGACCCTCAGCACGAGCAAAACCTAATCTGATTTAAGCTCTCACCTATCCTTTTCTCCAATGGGCTCACTATTTTGGGTGAGCTTAATGTGGGTGGCATTCTTGATGAATGTTTTTGATAGGGTCACGTGGTAGTAGTGCTTTGCGGGCACTGATATGACCCTGCCTAAGAGTTAATGAGGGACACGGGTGGCGCTGTGGTTTAAACCACTGAGCCTAGGACTTGCCAATCAGAAGGTTGGCGGTTCGAAACCCCATGACGGGGTGAGCTCCCGTTGCTGGGTCCCTGCTCCTGTCAACCTAGCAGTTCGAAAGCACATAAAAGTGCAAGTAGATAAACAGGTACCACTCCGGTGGGAAGGTAAACGGCATTTCCGTGTGCTGCTCTGGTTCGCCAGAAGCGACTTAGTCATGCTGGCCACATGACCCGGAAGCTGTACGCCGGCTCCCTCGGCCAATAAAGCGAGATGAGCGCCGCAACCCCAGAGTCAGCCACGACTAAACCTAATGGTCAGGGGTCCCTTTACCTTTAAGAGTTTATGAGTGAAATTTCAATGGTGCCTAGGGATGCTAATTTGCAGTTTTCAAAACAGCAACGTGGATGAAAGAAGAGTCATCCTTCAAAATCTGCACTTCTCCAAATTTCGCTGTGCGAAGTAATAATGTGTAAAAAAAGAGTATGTGCTGGACTAAAGAGTGTGTGAAAATTCATTAATTAGGGGAAATTGGTTTGCAAAAATGTGAACATTCAGCAAATCTGCATTTGATAATGCAGAAATGAGCTCCAATATGCGGATGAATTTTCATAAGAACTTCTTAAAAATAAAATTTGCTAACTGCCGTGGAAACGTGGAGAACTGAATTTAAGATTGGGAAAAATGAGAAAATGAAGATTTGCCAAGCACTTATGGTGCAAGTCAGAAAGTGAGGCAACCTTGCTAGTAGTTTAGTTGTACATGGCTTCTCCTAGAGCACCTCATTTTGGTTTGTTATGGCGTATAAAGCAAGAATCAACGTATGTTCTTAAGATGCTTTATATTTTGTTTTTTGCACTTTTGTAAGATACGCAAGAGAAGGGGTTTTGACCCTTACTACGGCCCTTCCCCCCCACCTCATTCTCTGTCCCCTGTCTCCCAGCACTCTGTAAAAGCGCCCCTGCAAAATGCAGACTAGCCGAATTTAACAAAGTTTTTATTTGCAGCCACTTTTAAGTATTTGCTACTGACCGTCTGAAATGCCTTTGTTTATTTCTCTTTAGGATCCTGCAGGCATCTTTGAACTCGTTGAACTTGTTGGCAATGGCACCTATGGACAAGTCTATAAGGTAAGGCCTTCTGTGTTTTCCCAGAGCGTGAGATCACATGCTAAGCATTCCTTGTGTATCTGTCTCTAATTTTTACTGGGCTCTGATTGTAAAGGAAGAATTAACTTCAGGGTGTTTATAGTTTCCTGCTCCCCGCCTTCCTAGTACCTGGTCCAAAAATGTATGATTGTGAAAGTGAACATTGTGTGCCAGTCTTGTGTTTCTATAAATATCTCTGGGAGATTGTACCTATGCGTAAACATCTTTCAAACTGAAGAGAAGTCTTCCCAAGCTGATGGAGAATGTGTGTGGCTTCTTCCTGGTGAGAGCTACAGGTTGCCAAATCACTATTAATATTATTTATTGAATTGGTACACTGCCCTTCACCTGAAGATCCCAGGGCGATTATCAACACACAAATTGTATATTAATAAATTGCACATGAATAAATTGTATATTAATCGCAACCTGGGACCGAGTGTGCATGCCTCAACAGTTTTGCAGGTGCCAAAGATAGTTCAGGAGGGATTCTCCTCTTCTGTCTTTTCACCACCCACCTCATCCTCCTATTTCCAGAAAAGCAAAACGAGTCCTCTTTGCTGCGGTAAGTGGGAGATGAGGGCCAGTGAAGGGACCTTGATTGGAAGGAACGGAGCAGCCTAAGTCCTTTTTCCTGTTGTCCACTTATTAGAGATGGGCATGGCTTGCGGCCTGCGAAATTCCTAGTGGTGTGTTGTGAGGACGACATTCGTTCCAGTGTCTGAGTATCTACAATTCAGGGTTGCGAAGCTCCCTCCTCACAGACGTTTGCCTGTCACTTTCATTGTTCGGATTTCCTTGACTGCCAAAGACATGTCTCTTTACTTTGGTCTTTGACGTTTTAGATGCATGCAATTAAGACCTTGTGTTTTCAAGTAATAATAATCACTCTGTTTTAATGTGTTTTAAATTGTTGTGATACTCTGTGGGACCTTAGGTCGAAGGGCAGCTGATTAATAGTAATAATGATGAGGATGATGATGATGTTGCCAGTCTCATGCAACATATGACACCATTATAAGTTGATGGGTTTTCTGTTTACGGCCATGGGGTGTGTCTCCCTCAGGCTGTCTACCTCCCTTTGTGATTCTGATCTCCTTAAAGTTCAGGTAGCAAATACATATATTTCCCTGGCTACCTGCACTTTATATAGTTACTCATTTTTGTTTCCTTACTCTCCTGTCACACCTTACTTCCATAATGGGACCCAAGGCAGCATACATGGGATTCCCAAGCACTAACCAGACCCAGACTGGCTTTAGCTCAGTCAGTAGAGCGTAAGACTCTTAATCTCAAGGTTGTGGGTTCAAGCCCCATGTTGGTCAGAAAGACTCCTGTATTGCAGGGGGTTGGACTGGATGACACTTGTGGTCCCTCAAGACCAGAGCCCCAAATGCTGCAGCAGAGGGAGAGAAGGGATGCAGGGCTCTTCCACTGGCTCTACTGAAAAACCATCTCCATCAGGCTTCTCCTTCCCTCAGCTGTCACCTGGCAGCAGTCATCCAATCAGGTTGCAGCAAAGGAAGATAATAGGAAGCAGGAGCTCTGTTAGACTCCTTCACTCTCGGAACGGTTTGCACCTCAGCTGGTCGCGATAAGAACTGTAACTTTAAGAATTGGTGGCTGAGTTTCACTGTTTTCCTCTTCCCTCCCCACCCCCTTTCCTTTTGTGTTGTGTCTTTTGAATTCCAAACCTGAAGGTGGGAACTTTAAAATAAATTGACTTGTAATCCTCTCCGGGAGACTTTTTGGCCAAAGAGTGGAGTAAAAAAAATGCTTTAAATAAATAAAATCTCCCATTGCTGCCCCTCCTAATCTCTTAAAAGAGCAAAGTAGTTGTTCTTGACTATTCCCTTTGCTGTGCTCAGAGAGGGAAGGCATGCAGACAGAGGTTCTGGGTGGCCTGCGGAAGTCTTAATCCCAAGCAGAGTTTCATAAGATGTTGCATGATCATTTGATGGAGGGCTAATTCTCATTAGGTCTTGGGGTTAAGATTTTAAAGCTGTTGGATTTGAGTGCATATTTTGCAATGATTTTTTTAAAATAAAAAAAACCTGGATATGGTTTTATAAAATGGTAACTCTCCCTGAGCCTTAAGCTGGAGGCAAGATTAACCAGTCATTTGTACAGGTTTTTTTTCTTTCCCCCCCCTCTAAACCAATGCTTGTGAAGGCGATCTCTTTGGCATTTATGTTTTAAGATGTGACAATACTCCCGCCCCCCCTTCCCTTTGTGCCCCCTCCAAATAAAAGAGGCAAGTGGAGTGTGCTGCTGATCTGTCAGCAAATATTTATTCTGAATTCTGGTTTCTGCATCCTCTGATTGCTGTAGGCTAATCCCTTCAACAAAGATGATAGGAGAGGGAAAGTGAACCAAGACTGAACAGAAACTTCTGGAGTTCTTCAGAAGTGTGAATTTCTAAAATAGCGTTAAACCCTCCTCTTCTATATCTCAGTGCAGGAGACATTTCTACTGAGTTGCTATTTTTTTCTCTCCCTATATTGTTTAATTTCAAAACTGCTCTGCCCCGGTTTGCTGAAGCTAAGAGCATTAGAGTGATGTCTAAACAGTTTCTCTCTGCTGGTAAAATAACTGTAGAGGTTGACCTAGTTCTAAACATGTGCATATTTCTAATAACTGCTGCTGGAAAATGTGACTACAACATCCTTTTGAAAGCTTAATGTTTCAACGGAAAAGCAGAATGGGAAATGTTATCATGCAAAGCTTGTTTTGCTTTCCCCATTTTATTGAAGTTTTTCTGTTTACGCTTTAGACTTTGATTGCAACCTTTAGCATCCATTATTTCAGCAAAAAGTAAATACTTAAGAGTGGTGGTGGGGGGTGTTGCACAGAGATTTCTGTCACCTCTCTCCAGATTCTAACTATTTCATTAGGTTATTTTTGTGAAGAAATCAGCAAGAGCACCTACACCTATTTAAAAATTATTCAAGGCACCAGGGCTGGACCACAACATTTTGCTGGCAGAGGTTGGATAGCTCAGTTGGTTAGAGTGTGGTGCTGATAAGCCCAAGGTTACAGGTTCGATCCTATATGGGACAGTTGCTAGATGACCCTAAGGGTCCATTCCAACTCTGCAATTCTATGCTTCTAAGGTGGGACAGGAAATGGCACCTTTCCCAAGCCAAGGTGTTTAGTACTCAGTGCTCATCAAGTCATTTTGACACCCAAGGCAGAAAATTTTCCACCTCCTCAGCAGTACAAATACCAGTAACAATAAATTCATTGTTCGGCGTTCAGTCATCTTAATCGTGCTTGACTCTCCGTGACCCCATGAACCAGAATTTCTTCTCAAAGCTTCTCCTTTTGTCCACGGAGTTTTCTTGGCAGGGATACTGGAGTGGCTTGCTGGTTCCTTCTCCAGGTGGATCACGTTTGGTCAAAACTCTCCACTATGACCGCTCCATCTTGGATGGCCCTGCACGGCGTAGCTCATAGCTTCTCCGAGTTATTCAAGCCCCTTCACCGTGGCAAGGCAGTGATCTGTAAAGGAGAAGACAGGAGTGCCTGGCACTCTCTGGTCCATGGGGTCACGAAGAGTCAGACACGACTAAACAACTAAACAACAACAACAATAAATTTATGGCTCTTTCATGACACCCCCCTGCAATGAGTCTCTTGGGGTCCCTTACAACTCTACAATTCTATGGTTCTAAGTGGCTGCCTCAGTCTGCCTAATGTTAGGACCGGCCCCGTAGAAGCACTTGGTGTGGTCAACACACGGCTAAATGTTGCACTGGGTTTGAGTGTCAAATATTATTTCTAAAGAGGTCAGTAGAGGAAAACGTGGTAAGGCACCATCGCTCATCTGACCTCCGACTGGTCACATTGGTGCTTACTGGGAGGCGTGAGATAGTGGGAAGGTTGTTACAGTGCAAACACACTGACAGCAGTACCAGAATATGCACATATGCACATCCATGCACACGTAGTGCACAGCCTGCTGTTTTCAGGGCTGGCACTGGTTAGGTTTATTTTGAACTGTTGATAATCCTTAGGGATAGAATATCTTCGTTCTTTTGGCTAAGTTTGCTTTTAAATTGGCGAAGGACAAGACTGTAGTATAGCAGGCAGAGAGAAGAAGCTTCAGCAATGTAGAACTGCAGGAAAGGGAACATGCAGATGCCATTGGTGTGTTTACAAGAATGATCATGCTTCATCTGTGCAATGCAGGAAGGGAGGGAAAATGAAAGAGGGGTTTCAGATCAGCCTTCCCCAACCTGGTGCCCTCCAGATATTCTGGGCTACAGCGCCCATCATCCCTGATAATTAGCAATGCTGACTGGGGCTCATGGGAGCTGTAGTCCAAGACACCAGGTTGGGAAATTCTTTGTTTAGATGCCTGAATGAATTTGTATGTGGGAGTCTCATTGGATTCTTGTTAACCACCACCACCAACAACAACAACAAAAAGCACAAGATCGTTAAAACCTAGACCCTCCCAAAAGGGCTCCTGAATTTTCAGGCTATTTCAGCAATTCGTCTTGAGGAGGTGACATGAGGAGAAGGACAGGGATCCTTATTGATAGTGGCAGTGGCTGTGGTATTTTTGTTCCGAAGATGTTTAGAGCAGGCATAGGCAAACTCAGCCCTCCAGATGTTTTGGGACCACAACTCCCATCATCCCTAGCTAACAGGACCAGTGGTCAGGGATGATGGGAGTTGTAGTCCCAAAACATCTGGAGGGCCGAGTTTGCCTATGCCTGGCTTAGAGCAACCCATTGTTATGCCATCACATAGCCTGGGGATAGAGAACTTGTGTCCCTCTAAATGTCATTGGACTCCAGTTTGCATCAGCTCCATCCAGCATGGCAAGTGGTCAGGAAATGATGGGAGTTGTAGTCTAGCAACCTGGGGGGGGGGGCCGCAAACGCTCCCCATCCCTGATGTAGCGTCATTTTGGGGGAAGGATAGTGGCTGCCAGGATAATCACCACTGTTGAAGCGGGAGAGGGAAAGATGGCGGCAAAATGTGCAATAGATTTGGGCCCTTTCATCCCCCCAAAGTCTTTCAAAATTTGGCTGAAATTTCTCCTTGGAGCTTTGGAGGGGTAGACCAGCTTCATTGTTTGTTCATTTGTAAAACCAGGGATTACCGTTCATACCTAGTTAATTATACTTTTATCCCTATCTTCTTTCAAGGAGCTCTGTGTAGCGTACCTTTGAACCTGGATTCAGACTTGCAGATCAGCTTCAAATCTCTCTCCCCCCCAGCTCCGCCTTGATTTCTATTTGAAAGCCAGCTCTGGTTAGTTTTAGTCATCTTTAGCGGTAGAGAAATACTGTTGCACTGTCATTAAATACTGACAAAGGTAGGGAGGAGGAGAAGGTGAGAGAGTCTACTCCCAGTCTCTTATCTGTGGTTTTAAAATGTGGACAGCAGTTGCATCTATATCATGATGAATAGATAAGGCCTGATAAGGCCGGTATTGTGACAGGGGATCTCTGCTTCTGTTTCCTTTTGCTATTTAATAATGTACCTTGCCATATCTTTCTGATCAAGTTATGAAATATTTCTGAGAAGGATCAGCTGTCTGAGAATTGAGCTTATAAAGAAGAAATTTTGTTGTTGTTTAGTCGTTTAGTCGTGTCCGACTCTTCGTGACCCCATGGACCAGAGCACGCCAGGCACTCCTGTCTTCCACTGCCTCCCGTGGTTTGGTCAAGCTCACGTTGGTAGCTTCAAGAACACTGTCCAACCATCTTGTCCTCTCTAGTCCCCTTCTCCTTGTGCCCTCAATCTTTCCCAACATCAGGGTCTTTTCCAGGGAGTTTTCTCCTCTCATGAGTTGGCCAAAGTATTGGAGCCTCAGCTTCACGACCTGTCCTTCCAGGGCTGATTTCCTTAAGAATGGATTGGTTTGATCTTCTAGCAGTCCATGGGACTCTCAAGAGTCTCCTCCAGCACCATAATTCAAAAGCATCTCAGTTCTTTGGCGATCAGCCTTCTTTATGGTCCAGCTCCCACTTCCATACATCACTACTGGGAAAACCATATCTTCTTTAGCAGCAACTGAAAAGAAGGTTGTCAAAGGTGTTGCATCCCGTATTTGTTCCTTTCCACACACCTCCCCTTTTCAAGAAGCTGATAGATGACACCGTTCCTTCTGCAGGACAACAGCAAAACCTTCTGCATTAATGGGTGAGCAACCTACCCTGGGGCAGACCTCTCTTGCTTGTCATTGGGACCCCACCGATAAGTAGAGTTGGAGGGAAGAGTTTGCAGGGTTTGCTGGGCAGGTTGGAAGCTGCTCAATTAAAACCTGAGGAAACAAATAGGCTCTGCTGTGCTTGTCTGGTTCTTGAACTGAGCCCCCTCAGCCCCCTGAAGTTCATACCTACCAGCCCATAATCACGGTGACATCACCACCAGGCCTTGAAAACAGGGTGTGTTGTATTGGTTTTCTGTCCAGCACCTTGCATACCATATGAGAACTAAATAAGTGCATCTTTCTTTAAATTTCAGTGCTATTAATCTGTCCAGCAAAGACTTAAGCCACCAAATCTATTTATTTCTTGTTCATTGTACATTTACGGGATTGCTTTGGCTCCCTGGATCCCTCAATGACCAGGGAGGACAGCTCCTCTTGACTGTGACCTGCATTCCCTTCCCTTCCTAAGTTTCCATTAGCACAGGGGTCAGCAGACTTTGTCAGCAGGGGGCCGGTCCAGTGTCCCTCAGACGGTGTGGGGGTCCGGACTATATTTTGAAAATAATAATAATAAATGAACAAATTCTTATGCCCCACAAATAACCCAGGGATGCATTTTAATTAAAAGGACACATTCTACTCATGTAAAAACACACTGATTCCTGGACTGTCCATGAGAAGGTGATTGGGCCGGATCCGGCCCCTGGGCCTTAGTTTGCCTACCCATGCATTAGCAGATGAGGGTTTAGAGGTCAGGCCTCGGATGGTGGAGGGGGACTGTGGACAAATAGTGGAAAAATCTCTCTCTTGGCTGGAAATAATCCTGTAAGTGTGTGGCTTAACCACAGGTTGGTCATTCCAGAGCGGATGAATGAATCCTCATTCCTTCCAGCATCACAGCTTAATCGGAATAATTTTTGCTTGAATGAGAGTAGACCTCGGTGGCGGCTTATCTCTCTCTCTTTTTTTTTTTTATTGAATCGAGCAGGTTGTTTCATTATTTAACAATAACAAACAAGCTTTGGTTGTGCCTCTGATCTATTTATGATGTTGTCGTGTTAATTTTCTAGCTTCTTAAAATTAATGAAATGGCTTGGGTGGCTGACAATAAATCACTAGGCCTGGTCTATTTTTTTGCAAACAGAAAGCCTTCCTTGCCAGTGATAACGTGGCAGTTGTAGAGATCTTACTGATCTGTTTCACCTTCTTTAAAAAATATATCTGGATTTACTGAACCGTATTTGACCTCTTTTGCTCCTCCAAGGAATGATTTTAGGGTAGCAAGCACATTAATTGTAGTGAGATATGCTATAGGCAATAATTTTTGCTTCTCATCTGTGGCAAGTGGGAGGAATTATTTAACCTTGAAGCGAGTTCACTCAGGGTGTGTGCATTTGTGTGTGTGTGTTCTTTGTTTCTTCTTCGACTGTAACCATCCTTCTGATCTTAGATCAAGGCTTGTCAAATAATGGACAAAGCCTCTCCGTAAGGCCTGGGAAATTTCTGGGGAAGGAGGGGTCTCCTTAGGCAGAGACTTCCCCCTCCTGTTTTTGTTGTTATTTTGCACAAGAGGTGGTGGTGGTTTGTTTTGAAACGTTTTGTTCTTTTTCTGCCACCCACATGTTCATAATTTGGTTCTAGCTCACACTTTCCTCCCTCCCCTCTTCCCACCCCCCTCCCATTGTGTCAGAAAAACTTTCTAGTTATCCTCAAGGGTTTTTGGGAGGGTGGGAGTGGTGCCTTTAAATCATGGGTAGGCAAACTAAGACCCGGGGGCTGGATCCGGCCCAGTCGCCTTCTAAATCCGGCCCTCAGACGGTCCAGGAATCAGCGTGTTTTTACATGAGTAGAATGTGTCCTTTTATTTAAAATGCATCTCTGCGTTATTTGT